TGTAGGTTTTACAGATACATAGTACTAGAAAAAAGAACAGTGAAACTCTAAAATCGTCCATTCAGTTTTTATGCTCTGCCCACACTTCTGTGCAACCATTCTGGCCAGTCCTAATTTTAACTTTTTCTTGCCTTTTATTCCTTTCCCCCTCCTATGTTCCTTTCCCAGTCTATGTCCCTACTTTTCAGGCCTGCCAACCTGCCTCTAGATTTCAATCTTAATCTGATTTTAAACCAGACCTAGTCCCTCAACTAGAGTTTGCCATTTGAATCCCAGACTCAGGCTCTATGTTACACCATACTCAGCTTCCTTGACCACTTCTTACAGCCCTCCCTGCCCCATTCAACTCTTTGCTGGCTCTCAATCTTATTTTAACTCTCTGGGAATTTTTATCCAAATTCAATCTCCCTCCTTAACTCCTTCTCCCAGTCTATAATCCCAAGTTTTCCCTATTCTTTTTATCCAGACACGCTCCCGTTCCCTCTGAAGCCCTTAGCAGCTAACCCAATTTCTCATTCTCAGCCTCTTCCCTGCTCCCTACCTCCTGGACCCATGGTTCTCTCACAGTGCCAGAATCCCTTCCCTGTGCTAGTTTCAACAAAGTAGGCTGGACAATCCTCTCTATGTCTTTGCAATGCATGAAGATCACAGGTCTTTTCAGAAGTCCTTTAAGGACTTAGTAGGAAATTAAGAAAATAAGTTTGCCAGACTGCAGACTGGTAGGCATAGCTAAGTCAAGTTGGACTTGTAAGTCATTTTTCTCTCTTGTGATTTGTTGTAGCTTTCTAACCCTGGGTGAGTACCAATATCTTTTCTCAATACTTGTTAAGGTCTCTAACCCTTTCTCATCTGTCAGAACTATACAATCACATAGTAAATTTAAGAACAGAGAAAAGCTTACAAAATGTCATCAATGAGTAGATTAATGTTGACAAAACCGTAGCAGCACAAGTCTTAAGAAAAGATGCACTTATATTCTGTGTTTACCTTGTAGTAACATTGTCAACATAAAGACATATGCCACCAGAGGTCTACAGTGGTAGTAATAACTGAGTACATTAACAATATTTTCAGTGAAAATTAAACGTAAAACATCCCTCCCCTGATGTCACAGCTAAAGGATTAAGTACAAATAGACAGAGCTAGAATGTACTGTGTTAGAGGTAAGACAAGCTTATCATAGCAACGTCAACCCAGAAGTATTGTACTTTCAAATACGAGCAGCAACAAGCAACGTTGTGATCCAGATCACCATGCTTTATTGTATTCACCTACAAATGGTCCAATACTTGTCTTTGTAGGAGCAGAATATATAAAGCTTATGGAAGCTTTAAATACCACTGCTTTGAATTTGTTATTATTCTGATATTTGTCAAAAGTGAATGGTCTTTATTTGGCATACTGGAGCTGTGCAGGAGCAGTCATTATGCAGGACTGCTTTAATGCCCCCTAAAACCTAAGTGCAGTTCCCATCAAAAAAGACAGATTCACAGCCTTCTAAATTTTACTAGAAGGGCTGGCTTCTTCAAACAGTTCAGCTAGCTAAAGCTTCTCCAAGACACCACATGCTCTCCTGCCACTGATATTCTCCTCTCTCTCCTCTTACCCATTACCAGTCCTCCTCTGCCAGATGACATAAAAGCAGTGCCCACCTCTCACTGAGCAAACGATATTCTGCTGTCCAAACCAAGAGAAAGGAGACATATCAAAACCAGAATTGCACCTCAATTATAAGTGTTACAGTTATTTTTAATACTAATTTTATTCTACTTTCCATTCTCTCTATTAACCTCTTTAAAACTCAAAAATAATTTATTTCCCCCTACTGATTTTGTCATTTCCATTTGACAAAAATTGATTCCCTTGCACCCCTCTGTTTCAGATCCAGCTAAAATTAATACATTTTTAATTTGCTTCCTTTGAGCCCTAGCAAGATCAAAGATGGTAACAAAGCTCTCGAAATCTTGCAAAATTTATCAGTTCGCAGCCTGCTAGCAGAAGGAGTGTATTCTGAATATTATTGTTTATTTTTTTCTGCTAATAAAGGAGTGGAAGTATAAATGGGTGAAAATAAGAGAGATTTGTGAGAGCTTTACAAACAGAAGTTAACACAAATCTTCACCTAATTCAAGACACTCTAAATAATTTAGTTCCACTCTCCACTGCACTAAAAAGGAGATATAGTGTATTATTATTTAAAATTCTATGTATTTTCTCACAATGAGAGAGAAATCCACTCATCTCTTCACAAAGCCATATTGTACAATTAAGACGAGTGTTCAGTAAAAGTTCGGAAGCAAGCTTGCCCATTCTGATGAAGATAAATAGATTCACTCATTATATTCTTCTCTCCTTAGTACCATGAAATGAATGAACCAATATTTTCAAAAACCGCAGAGTTTCTTCCACTTTGTGAGAAAATGTCACTCTTTGGAAAATTTTCCTGATGAAAATATCCAGGATGACAGGCAAAAGAGGTATAACTAAACATCAGATTTTACTGTCATATGGAGGTGGAAACTGAAGCGATCACAAATGAATAGGATCCACAGTACTTAAATAATTTTGGAACTTTGTACTGCTCGTGTTGAAACGTCAGTCTGCTCTGTCATGGCACAGCTAATTCAAAAAACATAATGTGCTTTTTCATGCAGCACTAACTTTGTTTATTTGTCAGTTTAGATATTGTTTGTGAAAATTTCTATTGTCTATGCTTCCATAGATACTAAATGCTTTGTCTGTAAACTACATCTCCTGAAAGTGGAAATGTCCTTCTTGTAAGACATAAGTAAAGTATGCCATGTTTTTCAATCAACTCTTAAAAACAATTTTATCTATCCTGGCAAATTAAAGACAGAAAATGTATGACTAGCAAACATTTATCATGGCTAGCTAATTTGTTTTGCATTAAGAAAACTGTTGTCTTTGATGATTCATGCTTGTGTTCTGCAGTGGGATATCCAAATAAAGCAAACCAAGATAACTCTGTGAAACAGCCATTCTTTAAAGTTTACAGAACAGAATGTGTTATTTACTTAATTCTGGAATATTGAAAAAGATGCCCTAATAGCCTTGATGTTTCCAGTATCACTCAGAGCGAAGCATCTCATTGGTCAGATGTCTGAAAGTTTATCTGCTTTATAGTGGCCAGTGTCTGTTCTTAAGCCATTTTTGACATCCAGCAGTGAATAAACAATTGCAATTGGCAGTTGCTGATGGGCCTGTTGAAGAACAGGCACTATACAGAATTTGAGGATTATGTTTAATTAACAGACAGTGGAATTTAATATTGAGTAGCAACTTTAAGCTCTAAAACGACATGTTTTCTAAAAAAACAATAAAGCAAATACTTAGCAACAGTCCATTGAATTACCTGTTCATTCCTATTTGTAATAGTATGCATTGCAGAAATGATAAAATTCTCAGGATAATAAAGGTTATTAAGTAAATGCTTTTATGTGTTACACTGACAGTATCTTGTGTAACTTCACTAATTTACAAAGATTTGTACCAATATAGCTGAAAACATATTTGCAATATAAAATTTTGTTTTTCAAGAAGGTAAAATACTGGCTCAGTTTTGGTTAAAAATCTTTAATATGAGAAGTATGAGATCCTTGAAAAATATATACTGGACTGTGGTAGCATAAACTGATATATTACGGTGGGCTCTTTGCACAGGCACAGAAAGGGTGGTCTCCGCTTCCCTCTATCCAGAGTATCCCATTTCTGGTACAGAAATTTCTTATAATTTTAGTTAGTTTTAAGATATTTGTTATTTAATCTTCATCTATTTTTACTTTGAATGATATCTGGGATTTAATTAACAAACATTTAAGCAAACCTGACATGACTGAATAGTAGAGGGAAGGACCAGGTGGTTGTGTTGTTAAGGTGCCAGAGTGCTAGGTCCAGTTCCAGCCACGGCACATATTTCCTTAATAACCTGGGACATAAATCCTCTCATAAACTGAGTTAACTCTCTCTCTGTCTATCTGAAGTGCAAACCTTTTTAAGGAAAGGTGTATCTCGTGGTTAGAGCAACTCCCTACACATTGCAACTCTAGAAAAAATAACATAGTAGTAGAGAAAAAAAATAATAATACAGCTCTTCCATGACCACACACAGAGGGAAACAAACAAAGTAATCTGATGAGGTTTTGGAATATTGTTCTACTTATTTTGGGTGTAAATGACTCTTTACCACTTATTAGAATGAATCTATTCAGCTGCATATAGGAACTGCATTTGGCACTACTTCTCACTCTGTAATAATATTAATTTTGTTTCTCTGTTTCATGTACATGTCTCTTAATGTTTTTTCCATCGAAATTATTTCTATTCACCAGTTTTCCCATTTTTAAATAAAACCATCTGATTAAAAGCATTTCATGTGTGAAAAGAAGCTCCACGGGAAAAATATCAAATGAACAATACATACATTAGGTGTGGTACTACTCCTAAGCTGAGCCTAATTGTTTACAGAAAATGTTCTGCACCAAAAATGCTGGAGACAACTACTGTGGTTCAATTCAGATCGGTCTTAGGGTAAGCTTGTGCAATTTCAATCAAAATTAGAAATAGAAAGCTGTATAAACAGCACTTTCTCTTGCCTCCTCCTACCAATCCATGAGAAATTTGTGTGTGATATCTGTATCCCAGACATATGCAAAAAACATTTCATAACAGCTGTGAATCTACCAGAGGAGACCTCTGGATGCTGAAACAACACACTAAATAAGATTGAGGATCCAAATTCACTTTGACAGTTTGCAGCCATCTCCAGTGTCCGCCTCTCGTTATAAAGACTGAAGGACTGATGCTCGACTCCGACTCTCAGAGACTAAAAAGGAGACCAAGAAAGCCCCAGTATCAAACCATTCAGGACCTTTGAATGTGACACATGAACAGAGTCAGCACAAGTATGGCCATCCAGGAAAGGCAGCAAACCAGAAAATTATATTAACAGGGTAACAAGAAAAGAGTTTACTTCCCCTCACCTTTTTCTTCATTTTTACATTTTTGAAAATTGCATGAACTCTCCACGTTTTTGCAAACATTGCTCCAAATGCAGTTGTGTATCCCACTGTAAGAATCCATGTTCGGACCTAAAAATAGATATATATAAAAAAAGACAGAGCCGTTTAATTTTCAGTAGACAATGTGGATATCAACATTTCAGCCAACTTTTTCTCAAGACCTTGAGAGAAAAATATTCAAAGAACTTCACAAAAATGTTGACATTTCAGAATTGTCTCATTCATTGCTTTCTTGCTTTTTTTCCTCCTCCCTCCATCCCCTCTCCAAGTATAACAAATCTGGATGCTGAATTAACAATCTCTTCCATATATAAAAAACCAACTCTGTTACAAAATTCTGCATTTTTTTCACTTTTATTGTGTTCTGTGCAGACAGAGGAAGGAACTAGTGGAGGAAAACAAGAGACTGAGACTATAAAAACTACCCAGGGAGCTATTATTAACAGCGACATTTTGAACAGAAATGAACAGAGAAGTAGAGATATTATTCAGACTAAATAAGAGGAAATTGTACTATGTGAGGCATGCATCCCTTAATGTGGACCCTGAGCATTCTGGAAAGATGAGAAAAACTGACCTTAAAATTATCGTATAGGGAAAAATGCCAAGACAGGAACATAGCCTTGGTGGGCAGGCCTCAGGGACAAGACCTGAATCAAAGATAATACCCTCAGTATGGGTCTAAGAAAAAGGAGGTGGTGAGTTTACACAGAACGATGGAGTAATGGGACCCTGAGCCGGCCACAGCTTTGACATAGACCTATCTAGTAATTTTCCTTACAGTGAGCTTCCCAGAGAAACCCAAAAGTTTTTTAAACTAAAAAAGATGTGATGTCTTTAGAGTAAAACCCAGAATGGCTTATTTTTTAATAGAAAACCCTCAAATTGACCAGGGAGGACAGAACACAAGTTACGAAAGCTTTTTTGTGCAATTCCCCACCTGCCCATAGCATCCTTGTAGATAGGTCCTCGCTTTCAGACTTGGTTTCAGCTAAGCTTGTCACTTTCAGAGTTTTAGCAAGCTCTGCACAGCTGCCTCTAATTCCTTGGAAGTTTCTCTTTTCATTACCCTGGAGGTCTGGCTGTTTGAAAGCTTTTCTGTCCTGAATAGACTATTTTCTTCCCAAAGAGATACTGGAGACTACAGAGCATAGCAGGTGGAAGACCATGCAAGAGGCACAGCAGGGAGCTGGAAGCCTACAGTTGAATCTGAGAGCCTGAGAAATCATCACAAGGAGGTGGAACAATCTCCTCGTCCCTCTAGAGACTCCACCTGGGCTGGCTGTCAAAAAGGGAGACCGCACAAAAGCAAACAAAGAAGTAAAAATAAAATAAAATGCACTGTGCATTGCAGATGGAAAAACTGGGGGAGGGACAATGGCTAAAGACAAGGAAGGCAAAGCTAGAAAAGGGGAAAACAAGCCTTCTTTTGGCCATGTGGACCATGCACCCTTGGCCAGTAGAACTGTTTTTTTGATATAAAAACAACCTGATTTGTAGAAACCAGGACATTCTGAGAAAGGATTTTGAAAAAGAAAATCTTTAGATGACCTAAAAGCAATGGTTCTCATTGGAAGCCAGCCTGGTTTCACATCTGACTTCTAGAGAGTTTGGGATTTTTAATTTGTAACTTCAGGTCATGTATATTGATGAGAAATTAAGTGCTGCAGTAAGATGCAAAACTTGGGATCTAAGATCAATATTAGGAATAATCTAAATGTTTCACTGCTAAATACATGTTATTTAGTTTTTGCCTTTCCAAATATCTTCAGAATTTCCATTTTTGTATTCAAAATGTGATTCTTTTTTTCCCTAAATTTTCTGTAGAATAGAAATTCTAACTTTTAGTAAACATTAGTGACTGTGTATCAAGGCAGAAAAGAAAAAAAAAAAAGATATGGCTTACTCAAAAATGTTGATAAAGCAAAAAGAGACATAAAATGACTACAGTTCCTTAAAATAAATAAATAAATAAATAAATAAATAAGATATGGTCAATAATGGTGAATTAGTGACAGAAAAGTACATACAGAACAGGCACCTTGGCTTTTGGCAAAGAGGAGTGTATGCAAATGGACACCCAAAACTGTCTGAGAGGACATACGCCCCAAACTGATAGCACTGCACCACGTAAGGACACAGACCTCGTGTGCAAATGTGAACTCAGGGGGTGCTGTCTCACTGGCATGGGCATTACCAGGTTGCAGAGATACACATAAAGGCAGAGAGCCCACATCTCCTACAGGACAGGTGTGTATAGGGGAACCTGCACTCCCAGAAGAAAGCGTGTGCTGGTAACCCATGCATCCTGTGAGCAGCAGGTGTCTGCGTGTAACTCAGTGTGTGCGTTTATTAGAAAACATTGGGATTACATATAGAAGACTGTTTAGATATTTGTGTGTATATATTAACATTTTGTTAGCATATAATGCGGTTTATCTGTTGCATTGCTGATATTGACTCTGAACATACAGTTCATACTGACTGCTGGTTAATCTTGATATTAATAAAATCAGCAAACTGACTGTGATTAGATTCAAACCACGTGAGTTGTGCAACTTTGTGACTTTCTTAAATGCAGTATTGAAAAAGAAACCTATAACCAAAAAAATGGGGATAGATATTTAGGTCAGCAAAGTAATATTTTCAACTTAAATGTTTTTTCAAGTCTTTGCTCGTTATCCATTATCATACATTTTCAATACTTAAAGGGGGCCTACAAGAAAGATAGGGATAGTCTTTTTAGCAAGGCCAGCTGCAACAGGACAAGGGGTAATGGTTTTAAACTAAAGGAGGGTAGATTTAGACTAAACACAAGGAAAAAATTTTTCACAATGAGAGTGGTGAAACACTGGAATGGGCTGCCCACAGAGGTGGTAGATGTCCCATCCTTGGAAACAGTCAAGGACAGGCGGGATGGGGCTCTGAGGAACCTGATCTAGTGGAAGATGGCCTTGTCAATTGCAGGGGGTTGGACTAGATGACCTCTAAAGGTCCCTTCCATCCCAAAGCATTCTATGATTCTATGATTCTGTGATTATGCTAATAACTTCAGTAAAACCACAGTTAGATCAATTCTGAGTGATTTAAAAAATACGTTTCATATCAACATGTTCATATCAGCCAGTTACATCTTTTTTTGACTTCACATCAACTGAGCTCTGATAACCATTCTTAGTATTCAATCTTTTTGCTGCTATTAATAAGTATTCAGCTCTTTTGTGTACAGTTTAGTGATATATTTGGCAAACAGATACATGGTATTTTCATGTCTCTAATAAGACTCTGTTTTGTTCTCACTGAAACAGTAATTGCCTCTTGGGAATAGTAATAAATTCAATTATGCTCATAATATATTTCTAACTCGATATACAGAAAAATGTTATTTTTATCATGTTTGGTTCAAAAAGTTTTATGTATTCCTAATCTGTATTATGAAAATTGGAATAATATAACTATTAGCTATATTGGAAACATTCTGGTTTAAACATATCAGGAGATTTTGTCAAAATGAGATAGCTGCTGCTAAGAATGAGATGATAAGTTTCAGATGAAAATAAATTTTTAATTTTGAAGAAAATTACCTCAAATTTCTCTGCTATAATTCACTAATGCAGACAGCAAAATGAAAAATTTAGAAAACAGCAAAAGCCTCTGAAATTCATATATCTGCCCATTTATATTCCTAAATATATTATACCTCCAAACCCCACTCATCTGAAAGAATATGATAAAAATAACACCAATAATACCAATAATTGGAGAGCATGACCATGATGTTACACAATCAATCAGTAATTCTCTCATGTTAGAAGTTTTTAATGATGCGTTTTGACAGAAGAGGCTGAGGAAGATCACCCTCCCCCCAGTACCCACCAAACGAACAGGAAAGGCACCTCCTTAGAAGATGGGAAACTTGCATTCAAATACCTACTCCAAGCTAGACACAAAACCTGAAAACATTCCTATGCTCCTACAGAAGGATAATTTGTAAAAATAGCTGCTGCTTATCTTTTTCTTAAAAGGTTAGGTCATTACAAAATTCCTCAAGCCTTCACTGAATTTTAGGATATACCTTCAATTATCTGCTTATATTTCTTCGTTACTTCTTTTTTTGAATAAGATGTTTTGACTAATTGAATATCTCCTAAAATTTTTTTTTCTATCATTCAAAGACAACTCGCAAGTGTCAAAGGTGATAATATTGTTTGGTATACAACAATCAAGTATGTCTATGCAGACACTAAAATGCACCTTCCTAATTCTCTTTTCTTTATACTTCCTGCACTATTTTCGTTCAGGGTCTATTTTTGAAAATACTATGTATGCACCCATGATTGGAATTTGTGCTTTTTATAAATTACTTGATCGAAGCTCTTACAGTTGCATTACTTGTGATAGCTAAAAAAGATAGAAATCATTTATTTAGTGGATGCATATTTGACAACCACTAAACACTGAAAGTGTCTCCACAAAGAAACAGACCATTCTGGTTCATTTTCCAAACTTGGAACAGATATGATGTTTATTTAAAACAAACAAAAATCCACCTTTGTCAAATACTAATGTTTAAACAAATGTTGTAAGGTTCAACTAAAGAGTCACTGCATTTATGAACAAGATGCTCCTTACATCTTGTAGGAGCATTTCTTTTCAACTTCTCTTTGCAACAAAAAGCCTCCGTTTTAAACCTATCCATAAGGTGCTAAAGATCTTTTATTTTTTTAAGACTATTCTTCCATCATATAGTAAGCATTGATAGCTTAACAGCCTTATATAAAGTTGCTTCCATTTGAATCATATTTCCTCTCAACCTTGAGCTTTAGCTAGCTAGCCTACGTTTTGAATGCTGCTATTTGACATCTTCTCACAAATCTATCTCTACCTTTCTCATCATCTTGTTATGTGAATGGTGAAGTGGTTACTATGTGTAACAGACCTACAAAGTTATTTGATATTACAACTTATTATTAATAAAAGGAGCCATCTAATTGTGAAGGATGAGTTAGTAAGGGGAAATCAGTAAGTGGTGAAAGCATCAGAAACATCCTGAACAAAGAAGTAAAAGT